AAAAAAAAAAAAATTTAGAAGAAAATGTGGGAAAATGCTAGACAAAATTAGCCTTCGAACATATTTTATGCAAAAGAATCCCTTGGCAACACCAAACATAAATAAATGGGACATGATCAAGCTAAAAAGCTTCTGTATACCAAAGTGTACCACAAATAAAGTCAATAGATAGCCTTCAGAATGAGAGAAGATACCTGCATGCTCTAAATATGACAAAGGGCTGATAACTAGAATCTATAGAGAACTCAAATGAATCAACAAGGAAAGAGCAAACAAACCTTATTGTGAGTGAGTAAACAAATTGAACAGAAACTTCTCTGAAGATGACAGGCGAATGGCCAACAAACACATGAAAAAATGCTCATCATCCCTAATCAATAGAGAAATGAAAATCAAAACCACCCTGAGTATTACCTAACTCCTGTGAGATTAACTCATACCACAAAATCCCAAAATCTGCACATGCTGATTTAGATATGGAGAGAAGGAAACACTTCTAATACAACCTCTATGGCAGTGGTTCTCAACCTTATTAATGCCACAACCCTGTTCATCATGTTGTGGTGACCCCCAACCATAAAACTATTTGGTTGGGGGTCACCACAACATGCAGAACTGTTAAAGGGTCATGGTATTAGGAAGGTTGAGAACCACTGCTCTATGAAAAGAAACATGGAGAATCCTCAAAAAACTAAAAGTAGACCTTCCACTTGATCCTACAATCCCATTACTAGTTATCTACCCAGAGAAGAAAAATCATTTCACCACAAGGACTTTTGCACTAGAATATTTATTGCAGCTCAGTTCACAATTGCTAATAGATGTAAGCAACCCAAGTGCCCATCAACACATGAATGGACTTAAAAACTGTAGTGTATGTATACCATAGAGTATTAGTCAATCATAGGAGAAGGTGGAGACTTTACATCTATTCCATTTACCTGGGTAGAGCTGGAATACATTCTTCTTATAAAGTGTCTCATGAGTTGAAAAAAGAAGTATTAAATGTACGCAATACTAACATCAAACCAATATATAAACAACTACACACCCACTCATAAGAAAAAACACAAGTATATTCTAGCAAAGAGAAGGAGAGAGGAAGGAGAAGAGTGAGGGTGATTGACAGAATCTTACCTAATGTGCACAATGTGAGGGTATGCAGCATGCCTCCTGTGTGAAAGGCTCCACTAGAAAGCCAAGACAGGTAGACTTCTTGAGCTCAGAAGTTTGAGAAAAGCCTAAGCAAGGGTGAGACTCCACTGTACTAAAAATAGAAAAAGTAGCCTGATGTTGTGGTGGGTGCCTGTAGTCCCAGCTACTTGGGAGACTAAAGCTAAGAGGATCACTTGATCCCAAGAGTTTGAGGTTGATGTGAGCTTTGATGCCAGGGAACTCTACCCAAGGTGAATGAGTGAGACTCTGTCTCAAAAAAAAAAAAAAAAGGAAGAGGAAGGATGGCAAAATAAGTATGTCATCTGTGAACGAAACTCAGAAAATGTTAAATATTTCCTTCAGTGAAACCTTCTCATATTCTAGATGTGTAAAATCCAAAAGCAACTTGCCCAATGTTACCTAGATATTCATTACAGACATAAAATTCCTCTGCTGTCTTATTTCCTTACACTCCTTCCTCCAAATCCATGACCTCTTTTCCTACCCTTATTACTTCCCCTATTCCAGTGCTCTTTCATAAGTGCCTTAGAAGAACCTAATTTCTTGCTAACCATGATCCCTCTTATTGCTCATATTCCTGGATTCTCTTTGAGTGAACATGTTGAATTCCTCCAAAAATATTGAGTTTCATGGAAACTGAACCTAACAGGAACAGAAAAGATAAGCTGAAGGGAAACCCTAATTGTAACAGCCTAGAAGGAAAGGAAGAGGGTAGGGAATGGCAAAGAAGAAGAAGAACCCAAGACAAATCACAGCACCTTTCTAAGTCCTCATTACCTCGCCAGAGGCCAAGGATCAAAATCAGGTTCAGAGAGGAACTCATCTCCCACTGCATGACAAAGCAGGTGAACATAACCAGACAGCTTAGACACTTCTTCTATTGCTTCCTAACACATCTCAAAACCCTATCCAAATAGATAACATACTTACATGCTCTAGGAAGCAGGGTCCTATCTCACTGAGGTGGGGGTCATCATTGTTGTATTGTTTCTCCAGATCTCTCACGAAGCTCATCTGAAACCTGTAGATGTCTTCAATGTTCCCAAATATTACCTTCAGTTGATCATCACTGAACATGTCCCTTCTCTTTCGGCACTGCTTCAGATAGCCCTGCAGACAAAGGAAAAGCCCAAGATGAGGATGTTCCATGCTCCAAATCAATGACCTCAGAAGGCTTTACATTTCCTAAGCACTTGGGAGCCTCAATTCAATTCCATGAAGTAAGCGGAGAATAATCATTTCCATTTCCATTTTTCATGAGAAAATTGAGGGTTAGAGAAGGAAGTCACTCCCTCAGTGACTAATAAGAAAAGCTAGATCACCAGGAAAGATGTTAAGAATGCAAAGACTTTCAATTAAAAAAAAAAAAAAAAGAATGCAAAGACTCCAGAAGGTAGGGTTTTTCCCTTCCAGTCTGTATAATAAGGACTCCCAAAGTCAAAAGTTCCTTTCTCAGAAGCCGATTGAGCACATTGTCACTTGTCTTTGTAGCTATTAGGTTAGCTGGATCTATTCACGTCTCTAAAGTTCTATTCTTTACAGGACCATCCAAAAAGGTCTTCATAACACTGAAAACAATTTGGCAACAGAGGCCAGCACAGGAAAACTTCCCATAAGGGAAAAAAAATTGACAAAACCATACCATTTCTTAAAGTAAATCCTTCAGGTGTCTATAGTACCTGGCCAGGAGAGATCATTTGGATGAGCTCAGCTAGCAAGCTCATGTGTGCCTGGGTATGTATGGTATTTCTAGCAGAGCAGATGTTTACAACACATTTGTGAATAACCAGAGAAATTAATAAAGCTAGCCATTGATGAAAGAGAAAAGGGGATGAAAGATGTTCTTATTCTGATAAGATAGCACTAAGCTAAAATACAACACACTCAAGGCATAATGTAAATCAGGGCAAAAAGAGTCACAGTCTAAACTGGGTCTTCCATTCTGAACTTACTATCACGGATTTTTACTTGATATTTATTGCCCTCATTATAACATTAGAAATTTTAAGCACACAAAAATGTTATTAGTGAGAACGAGTTAAGTGAAAATTTCTTAACAACTTTCTTCAGTGTTAAGCCCCCAATGAGGAGTTTTGTAGTGGCTAATTTACCACATATAAGACTCTGTCCCTAACTGTCTTTGTTTCCCCTAACACAGCTGCCAAGAAGGTCATCTGGGCACATTCCAGGAAATATCCTCTTTTCTGGCTTCAAAGACCTTTATCACCTAATACCCCAATCTTACCTCCCTTATGTCTTCTTACCCTCCAATTCAGCCATTAATTAGCATATATCCTTCAACAGTTGGCAAATTAATATTCAAAGCCCATGTTGACTTCTATTCAACAAATGGCTGCTACCTTAATTGACTGACATGCTCAGAATTTTCTGCATTCCTTAATATCCAAATTCCTTACCAGAAAGAAGATACCCTCCCTGTCTAATATGTAACACACAGGTCCTGCCCTGTCTGAGTAGGTCTGTTTGTCTGCCTGTGCCTGTATGTGTGTCTCTCTCTACCCCTACCACCTTTTGAAGTGTATTAGCTACAACTGAGCCAGGAGAGAAGTGAATGTATCATCTTAACATTAAGCAGGGGAACAGAGGCTTCCTCAACCCTGCTCCTGCTTTTTTCCCTAAGGTAAGCCTGAGGGAAAATGTAGCAGCCTGTATATCCTATGGCTAAGAGGAGTGAGAGTTACAAGAAATACCTGTAATGGAACACTTTGGTGAAAAGGGCATGGAGAGAGATTTGGTTCTAACAAGCATGAGTGAGCTCGTGAGATGAGAGCATTGGTGAATTGGCAGTCTCTACACCTGTGGTGTTGAGAAGCACGCACGAGCTCAGCCTTATATTAGGCTGGAGGAGAAGGCAGTTAAGAGGCATGCGCATTCTATCATGGGTCCACTTACTCTGACTCTGTCTCCTCTCCTGCCTGCAGAATGCCAGCAGGGCGTCTCTGCTGAAGATTACAAAGCTCTGCTAAAGATTAAGAGCTATCTGTTCTAAGAAGACCTTTACTCTCTCTAAGTCTCTCTCTCTCTCTCTCTCTCTCTCTCTCTCTCTCCAGCTAAAGTAGATAGCCCTCAAACACCTAAGAGAAACTGTTCCTGAGCAAGGTAGCTTAGTGGTCCACGTCCAGAACCTACCTAAGCTGGGCCTGAGACCTGGCCAGTCCTGGGCCCTGGCAGGAAAAGTTGGGAAGTATAGGTAGCAATGTCACATTTATTCTGTTACTTTTGGGTAAGCATTAGGTACTGATGAATGACTTCACTGGAAGACAGAAGAGGCTAATTTAAATACCTCATTCATTCCCTGAGAAGCCAGTTTAAGAAATATAATAGTTTTGTCTGCTGCTCCCATTTGAAAGATCTCAGGGAAGAAATAAAGCACCATTAAAAACCCCCAAATGCAACAAAGATGCCAAAGCTCAACATCATAACAGAATATAACATAAATGAAAAAGAAGATAGTGGTCTCTGGAAAATAAAACAAATGGATATGATAGTGTAGCTTCTTAATTCCTCAAATATGCAATATATTGCTTATCATCAAGGAAATCATTCTTTTCTATTAGATTGTGTACATTGTGGCAAGGTAACATTAAGCTATATATTAGGAAGAAAGTAAATTCCACATGATGGTAGGGACCTACAGTGTTTCATCAACTTGTTGTTTTTTTTTTTTTTAAACTAATGCTAAATCATAAATATATTCTGGTACATTTAGCTTGATGAAATATTACATAGTAACACAAATGATGATTAGGAAGACTATGTAGAAACAAAAAAAGTATTTATGATATACTGTTAAAAAGCAGAACATATAACGGCATGCCACTATGATTACAACTGAACAGATTTAAGGAGATTATTCAATAGCACCAACAACTCTGCTATATTTTATAAATTTTACCTGATTTCGTTCCTATTTTTAAACTTCTTCCAATGATGTTTTCCAGTGTCTTCCTTATTTAAAAATGAGAAAATGCCTTTTCCAGAAAGTATAAATTAAAAAGTATTTAATACAACTACAAGAAGGCTGACTTATTTCTTCTAACTCAATCATTTTTAAGGCTATGTAATTTAAGATGAGCTGGTTCAATTTTAAGTGAGGAAAAAGAGAAAGAAATAAGACTGATAGCTATACTACTGCAAGAAAGCAGCATTCAAAACTGAGTCCGCCCTCTTTTTAGAGGAACATCAAGAAAACCATACACAGGCAAGGAGGAGTTAGCAAGGTAGGGAGAGGTCTAAAAAGCAACACCACAAAGAATGATGGATGGAATCAGGTTTGTTTGTGCTCCATAAGATTCAAGGCCCAATGAAGGCCTGCCATAGGACAGAGGGAGCAAAAGGGGTCTGTTACTTTTTTTTTTATTATTATTAAGTCAAATACACATAGATCATGAATACATTCATGTAAATGTGGGGTACAAGGTGCTAATTTTTTTTATACAATCTAACATGGTTACATTAAGCCAATCAACATAGCTTTTACCTCATTTACTTAATTATTGTGCCAAAACATCTATGTTCTACATTTCACAGATTTGACTTGTACCCATGTCATATGTTCCATAGGTGTAACCCCGCCTTTTACCCTCCCTCTGTTGAACCTCCTCCCTCCCCTCCCTTCCCCTCCCACTCCATATCTCTCTAGCATCCTGGACTATAGTTGTGTTCTATTTTTTACAAGAAAGTGTGAGTAAATATAAATAGGTTTCATAGAAGTACTGAGTACATTGGACACTTTTTCCTCCATTCTTGAGAAACTTTACTCAGGAGGATATGTTCCAGATCCCTCCATGTAAACATAAAAGAGATTTGGGCTTCTTCCATGACTTGGATATTATGAATTAAGCTGCTATGAACAATCTGGTGCAAATATCTTTTTTGCTAAGTGATTCTTGGTCTTTTGGATATACTCCTAGTAGAGGAATTGCAGGATCCAATGGCAGGTCAATTTTTAGTTCCCTGAGTGTTCTCCAAACTTCTTTCCAAATGAAAGGTACTAGGTTGCAGTCCCACCAGCAGTGCAGAAGCGTTCCCTTTTCTCCACATCCACGCCAACATCTGTACTTTTGGGAATTTGTTATGTGGGCTACTCTTACTAGAGTTAGATGGTATCTCAAAGTGGTTTTGATTTACATTTCTGTGATGATGAAAGAAGGTGAGTATTTTTTCATGTATCTATATATCATGTGCCTCTCTTCTTCATGGAAGCTTCTGTACAAGTCTCTTGCCCATAGTGAAATGGGATCACTTGTTCTTTTCTTAATACTAAGTTTGAGTTATCTGCAGATTCTGGTTATCAGACCATTGTCAGAAATGTAACCTGCAAATATCCTCTCCCATTCTGAGGGCAGTCTGCTTGTTTTACTTACCATGGCCTGCCACAGGACAGAGGGAGCAATAGGGGTCTGTTACTTTTACTATTAGGCATGCTTCGAACACTCTCTGACCCCACCTGGATGCTAAGAAGGAATAGGATACTATGGTACTGGGTATAAACTGAGATTCAAGAGAGGCAGTTTCCCAGACCCTCACCTCGAGCCTCCTAGGAGTAAAGTGGGCATGGGTGGGAAAGCAGGCCACAGAGTAGTTAAGAGTCCTATGGATGTTATCAAATCAGTTACAATCGGCAGGTGCAGTGGCTCACACCTCCTAGCACTCCGAGTAGCCAAAGCAGGTAGATTCCTTGAGCTTAGAAGTTTGAGATTATACTGAGCAAGAGTGAGATCCCATCCTTACTAAAAGTAGAAAAACTAGCCAAGTGTGGTGGGTGCCTGTAGTCCAAGCTACCTGGGATGCTGAGACAAGAGGATTGCTTGAGCTCAGGAGTTTGACATTGCTGTTAGCTATAACACCGCAGCATTCTACCCAGGGTGACAGAATGAAACTATCTCAAAAAAAAAAAAAAAAAACAGTCACAATTGCTATAAATCAGCCTTAACAATGTCATAGTAACAGCTAAAGAAGGCTGCCTATACATTTCACTTTGTTCTTAACCCCACATAGGCTGATCAAGAAGTCTAGATCTAGTACATTGATCTAGAAGTAGTGTCTTAATATTGGATATAAACAATAACCAAGATCTTCTGGGAAGA